CCTCCTATCAAGTTACAGTTTCTTGTTCGGTTTTTGGTCGAGTCTCCCCGCTTGGCTGCGCTGGAGCTGGGCGAGCTGAGCACTCTATTCCAATTGATCGATATATATATATATGGTGGAAGATTGACAAAATATGCGTTAATATTTAATTAAGGAATAATAAAAACACACACAGAAAGACTGCCCATATTTGTATCCGTTGGCCGTCTACGGTAATATATGGTGGTACCAGACAACATGCGCTTGGAAGGATGAATGAATGTCACCTCTCTTCTGCGAGGTGTAAGACCGGATGGTGGTGGTGTTATACTTGTGGACTCTCGATATCACAGCACAAAAAAACGATCGTGCGTGCGCGCCCACCACCAACAATCCCTCAACCCAGATAGGTAGTAGGGTATTTGTGAAGTTCGGCTGGTCTCCTTATAGCTACTCTCCCATTGCCGATGCATTGGAAACGATCATTTGCGACGTGTGGGTGACCGGTACACCACAATGGCACAAGGAGGACCCCATGCGAAAAAATAAGCCTTTTACATTATTGTCTTCAACGTCTTTACTTCCATTCACGCCAACTCTACTCCTGGGTGTTTTCAACGCATCTCCCTCTGTCTGCCTCTGACCGTGCGCGCCACGGCGTACCCCCCGTTAGAACACCCGCCCCCCTCGCAAAACAACAGCAAAGAGGCACGCCTTACACTACAGCAGTGGAGTCCATATCTATTCTATCATTGTTTTCGGAATGAACACTTACAACCCCGAATGCACTTCACGTCAAACCCCACCACCGCACCCCATTCCCCACCGCAACAGATAACCGACACGAACACATGAACCCTTAGCGGCGACAACACCATTCGCCCAAACCCTGCCCCATTTTGATCCCGCGCCGGAGGGGGTAGGGGAGGGTTGGTACTCATGTTTTTCACGCCCTAGCGGTTAGACTCGGGGGAGGGGGGGGGTAAATATACGGATGAACACCGCTTTCGTTCTCCTTGAGACGCCAACGATTTTATATACCAAATAGAGGACATCACTCATACAGTAAACATCGCCCTCTCACACCC